CAATCCGCCTGTCCCTGGTAATCTTGTCATTAGCCCCGACACTTGTGATTTTATTCATTTTTCATCTCCCGGTGTCTCCCGGTCGGTAAAATGTTTGTAGTTTCAAACAGATACGATACCTACCGTCTTCGGCGCCGCTGACGCTTTTTTGCGATTTGCATGACTTAGCCACCTATATTCTGCTTCCACAACTTTAGATGGTGCCGTATCCAGAGAATGGCGGCAAGTTCAACACTAAACATCTCGCCTGGCTGGCGTATGCTGTCAGCCTCGGAGGAGTCCTGGCTCCCATCTGCTTCGTTGGTGGGCCTATCCTCACCAGAGCGGCCCTCTACACGGGTGGTATTGTTGGTGGACTGTCGGCAGTAGCGGCCTCAGCACCGTCGGATCGATTCCTAATGTGGGGTGGACCGCTCGCCATGGGTCTGGGCGTGGTCTTCATATCTTCCCTTGGTACGTATCTGTGATCCTTTCATTTCCGTTGCTTTTCTGTGCACCTGTGTACGATTCGAGGGTCCTGCACTTCTTATTTATCCTACACTTGTGGTTCTCGCCTTTTACTCCCCTGTTCTTGTCATTTGCACCTGCTTTCCTTCCTACTCGTTTCTCCCGTTTATCTGCCTGCCTGAATCCTTCCTTGTACTCGGTAGTAGGCCGCCCAAGGACCCACGAACCATCACTTTATTGATTGTGTTGTTAAATTTACGGGGACATTGGTGATTAGACGGGTAGGGCTGTTTTAGTGTGCAGACATATGAGTGATAATGAGGACGTTCTGGGGAACAATGCTGTTTATGCATGTCGCATCCAGGGCTTTCAAAGTTAGCCTCAACCGTATGTTGGAAACAACTGCTGCTCGGGCAAGTGATGAGACGAACTAAGCAACTCGATACATAACATGTGGAGTTTCTCCCCCGGCCGTGTTTTACTTTGCCATCTTTTTCACAGACTTGCTTTTTCCCAGTAGGGGATTTACCAGAAACATGGGTGGACTTCTTACTGCGAAGAAGCACCCATCCCACTTGTCGAAATTAGTCCCGAGGTCTGATCTTAAAAACGCATGTCCTGGGTGACAATATTCAGTCCCTTAAACCCCCGTAATTAGTAATAAAACCGTCCGACCCGTGAATAGCCTAAATACATTCCTACCTGCTTCCGTTTAAGTTCAAAGCTGATTCTTGACGCATTTAGCCCTGGTGGAGACAAAATATAGGCGTGGATATTGTGCATCAATGAGGAGCGACCTCTGGTTTGTTTTAGCTTGAGCCTTTTCTAACCAGCGCCTCAAGCACGTATTAGTTTATCGTCTGCTGCCTACGCCGTTCAAAAAATCATGTGACACGTTTCTCGCGCTACTAGAATGTGTGCACTTTTAGCCTCGAGGACAGCCAATGACAGGCGCCCGCAAACTCTGTAATCACCCGACTAATTAACTCATTCGCTCATAACTGGCTGTCACGTGACATAGTTATTCGTATCTGAACCATTCTACTGAAGAAATGGACGCGCGGGTCCACAGCCGACCGCGTGCCAAAACCACCACCTAGTTGTTTTACAGAGTACTTGCTTCCTACTAATGACTTTCCCCCTCTCCATCACGGAATCAGGCGCTGACTGTGATACTATTTAGGCTATATACGCTATCCTAAGCCGTTGGTGCCTACGACCATCACAGGTGCGGTTAAGGCCGCGTATTGATCCGCAGACTAATGTTCGTTTGCAAAGCACAGGGATTTCAGTCCCTAGAAGCCAGCTGGCCTATCACCCGAACGAATGTCGCATTTTAGATTGACAGCAGACTCGTTTTGAGATAAGGTAAACCCTCACCGACAACATTATCCAGCCAAATTTCTTCTGAAAAGTATGACTTTACAGTTACTTGGTGGCGATATGGGATAGAGTAAATGGGTAAAGGCAACAATTCTACGTGCACAGGAGGAAAACACTGGAATTCTTGTGTAAAAGCTGAAAGATGGTCGATAGTAAGTGAGAAGGTGAACATTGCTACTTAATTTCCAGTTTATTTCACTTGTCGCAGTGGCTAAGTGCTGACTAGTGCGCAGGAGGTGCAAGCAATTGCAAACCTCACTGTTTGCAGGCCCTAGTCAGATCGATTATTGTCACTGAACGACACTATTTCTCAGGGTCACCAGGCTGGTTGGTGTTCTTAATTTGAAGATTAAGAACCAACACCTACTTGCTAGCTGGTCACCGCGGGAAGCCGAGGACAAATGCCAGTGGCGCATATGATGGTGATGACGATAATCGCAATAATGATGATGACGCTGCTGATAATGAGTTTTTCAGGATAGTACGTTGACTTTTCTGTATTCTTGTGTGCAGGAAGCATGTTCCTGTCTCCGGTGGGTCGCTTGGGCGCCGGCCTGTACGCAATCAGCCTCTATGGCGGTCTCGTGCTGTTCTCTGGCTTCCTCCTCTACGACACACAACTAGTTGTTCGACGTGCCGAGCAGCATCCTGCGCCCTTCTCCTACCCAACCAAATACGGCGTAACGGAGATGGGCGTCCGCCCCTTTGATCCAATCAACAAGTAAGTTCAGCTACTTCTATGTTGACTTTGAGGTCACCCTTTAGCAGTCGAATTATAGAGGCGTTTTCTTGCTTAAGTGCGTACATTTTCACTGTTGTCAGTAACTGGTGGGTCAGACGCCATACTACTCATAATCTCTTGTGACAGTGGGGAGACAGTAAGCGAGGGTGGGAGTCAATTTTCAGCCCTGTCCGAAATTCGGCCTCTATGGGCCAAAAGCATACACAGAACCGTTTCTTATCTCCAATTCTAGTGGGAAAGACCTCTAAGCGACAAGGCGCTGACTTGCAAAATAGTTTGCTTGTTAGTGAAACGGATATACAGTGAATCTCTCATACCGTTCCCACACCTGCCGCATCTGTGTGTCTAGACGATGTCAATATGGCCTAAAATGCGTGCGGACACAGTGAATGGAAAACAACACAGCCTGCAAGCATGATACACAACCTCGTAACCAACTCCACGCTCATCATACCTCCTCGAAAAGGACATGCTTGATAACACTTGAGTTAGTTTGCCACAATAGCCACGTTAAAGAGCCAATGCAGCCTGACCCACAGTCTTGAGCTGTATCAAGTTACACCGCTAGTTGACATTTTTTCCAAGCACCAAGGTCGTCATGTCGTGATAGTTGAAACACGAGGGAGGTGA